CACAGGCAGACTATTTGTCGTCGAGTGAATAATGCGCATGCGCGTTTTTTCTTGGGGAAACATTCTAACTACGCATGCTTATGCAGCGGGTTCTCGGTCAGAAAGCGTAACGGTCGTACATACAAACAAGCAAAATAATAGTATAGATTCTTCAGTATAAATAACTCGACGAAATTACGAAAAATGGTTTCTAACATTTCCTACCTTGCAGTGGCCTCAGAGGCAAGCTTTATGATTTATAACACTAAAATTTGTGGCTTGATCCTAACGATAGGCACAACGTAAAGAGTCCATTGTGTAACTTTGTATTCAAACAGATGGACATCTATATAAATTGTATATCTATGAATTCTGATTCGTGAAAAATGTTGACGAAACGGCTATATCCTTATTTTATTTTTGTCATTCACGAAGTAATTTTTAGTTAGAGATAGCACTAATAAAGTTAATTCAAAATTTTTTGTAAAGTTTAATAAGTATAGACCATGAAAACACAAAATCGCGTTGAATGTTAACAGGCCTTAAATTAGTTTTAGTTTCTTCGTCAACAGTGATGATGCCAACTCACAAGGCTTCACAATGGACTATCTGTGCTCCGACCATCGCGGGGGATCGAAGCCCGAATTTTAGCGTTGTAGGTCTGTAAACTTAGTGATGGTACGCTTGGAGTAAGGGGTGCCACTGATGATTTGGTGTAATCACACATATACACACACAAAAAAAAGGCTTTTAACACTCTAACTATACCCTATGGGCAAATTGTGTAATTATCTCTAATAACCTTGATTTTAATAGTTAGTGTTGGAAGCTAAACTAGAAATTAACTTAAACTGTTTTTCTGTATCGTTAAAGAACATTATTGAATTGTCTTAACCGTATTTAATTTTTTCAATTATTTTAAGTCATGACTAGATGACCGGCTTGCTTTTGTATTGATGCCGATATACGTAAAGTTATTTAGAACAATTGTTCTGGGTGTTATGTGAAACGGGAAGAGCTTCTGGATACAACTAAAGCCTTTCTTAATTGAACCACCTAGCTCACGTCAGCCATCGGTTGAGTGCAAACTGACGCTTTAAAACTGAGGTAATATTTCTTTAGCTTCCCATGGACCAAACATGTTGTTGAAACGGTTTCTGTTGTTGGGCGGCTGTTTTTAGATTATTCGTTAAAAATAAGAAAGCAAAGTATAGTCCATTTAATGATAAACGAAGTGTTTTTTTTCTTCAACAACGAGTTCTACTAGTTCCATGTAACTATGATAAGCCTAACTTCGTAAATAAATAACGTCTCAACAGGAATCCACTTACTAATTTTCTCGTACGTACGATATTTCTTGTATCTCTAGCACTTCGTCGAAATACAAAATCGAAATTTACAAAACTGGTTGGTTGTTTTGAATTTCGCGCAAAGCTACACCAGGGCTATC